TTGAGGCAACAAAGATCAAAGTAACCACAAAGTTTCAAGCAACAATGTTGCCCTGCGTATATGGTGGCCTTAACAAACTCACATGACTAGAGGATAAATGGCTACAGAAGTAGGAGCACAAGGAGGCTGTAGATACACATTCACTGATGGGGAGACATCCCAAGAGTATCAATGCCACATATGCACATTAGTGGCAAGGGATCCTCAACAAGTCACCTGCTGTGGTAAGATATACTGCAAGAGCTGTCTCGAGAGCTCAAAAAAGAAGAGACAGAAACTAACTTGCCCTGACTGCAATAAGCAACTAACAGGGAAATATTTTGAAGATATGAGAGCAGAGCAAGAGATAAAGTCACTGGAGATCTATTGCACTAACACCGATAGTGGGTGCCAATGTAAGGATATTAAGGATATTGATACACATCTTAGTATTAGTTGTCCCTATCAACAGGTACCCTGTACTAATGGATGTGGAGCGCTGGTACAGAGAATAGAAATGGAAGCACATGTGACAGACGATTGTCAAAGAAGCCTAGTTAAGTGTCAGCACTGTCAGAGGGAAGGCTCACGTCAATTGATGACTAAAGTCTATTCAGTTTCACCTGACCTCTTGATTTTTTGTTATAACTTTTGATAAACATGTAATTTAGAAATTTTGTTTGCACCATTAGAATCGCTAGGTCCTTCCCGTCCTTTAGATAAAAAGATCGGGTCAAAATGATAAGACCTTAGCCTTTTTTGGATGTCCCTGTATAAACTCAATGACATACCTTTGACCGCAATTATCCAGCTAGAACAGCCAGAATAAATTCAGCTGCCTACTTATCTGCATCCCTTCCACGCAACAAAAACAATTCCAAAACCACAAACACGTAAAGAATGCGGATGTGACGTAGTTATTTATTAATTGAAAAAAGCCGGGGGTCAGGTGAAAGTGAATAGACTTTAGTAACAATCATCTTAACAAGTGTCCCAACTACCCAGTCAGATGCAATAATGATGAGTGTGAGGAGGTTATACCAAGGCGTTTGCAAGCAGCACACCACATGACCTGCCCTAAAGCTATTGTAGCATGTGAATACAGTAACATTGGTTGCAATAGAAAGATGAAGAGGGAGGAGAAGGAGGAACATAGCAGGGAATCAGTAGAGGAACACCTTCAGCTAGCAGTGAGGAAAATCGAAAAGTTAGAACTGAAAACAATCAACAGCAAAGTGTTTAGGCTGACGGAGTTCTTACAGAAAAAGACTCAAAACAAGTTTTGGAATAGCTCGGACTTCTACACGTCACCAAGAGGCTATAGGATGAGGCTAAGGGTCGAATGCAGTGGATTCGGTGACGGTAAAGGTCATTACCATCTCTTGCTATATCTACCTCGTCCCGGGAGAATACGATGATACATTGGAG